TTTTCGAAAAATGTGAAAAATAGTTTTAGTAATTTTTTTAGTAACCAAAGAATTTATGTAAAAAATTTAATTAGTTAATTTTGTTGTTTGTTTTTAAAATTTTGTGTTATTTTCTTAATTTCTAGGTTATTTTGTAAAAAAACAAATATTTTCTCTGCTGATTTCAATAGATTTTTTTGCATATTTATTACTTATATTTTTTTTTTCTTACAAAGAAGCCACAAGTCATAAATTCGTCATGGGTGTCGTAAATAAACTTGTGCTGTTCCTAAGAATAATGTGATATTATTAAAAATTAAAAAAAATACCAAAAATAATTATAAAAATTTGTTTTTGTAATTTTGTAAATCTGTTGCTAAAATTTATCAACTGAAGTATTTTTTTAAATTTTTGAATCAAAAACTTTTTTAATTAAAAAAAAAACATGAAACCAGATTTTCGAAAAATGTCAAAAATAGACAAAATATTTTAGTAATGATTTTTTGGAAGGTTGAAAACGAAAGAATTTGTGTAACAATGTATTATTTTCGAAGTTAAGACACTTATCGTTTTCAAAATTATTTTTAGCTTAAAATTTAAATCAAGAATGTTAGTTTTTTTCAAAGACATGAGCTAAGAAGTGACAAACTACATAACAACAAATTGCGTAAAAAAGTCCAAAATAACCTGAAAATTGCTCTTAATTTTCATGAGTAAAACACTTCCTAATAATGGTAAAAAATGTCAAAAAATTAATAAAACAATTTTTCATTTCGATTTTGGATTTTTTTTTTATTTTTTGTATTCTGGTAAACTTTCTTTAAATTTCTCTAGATTTTCCAAACATTCGTAACCCTTCATCTCATTTTTAAATTTTTGTTAAAAATATCAAAATTTTCTAAAAATTGGTAACTCCGTTGGTGAATGAAAAAATCAATTTGTCTGAATTTTCAAAAATCGCAAAAACAGTCAAAAAATTAAACCAAACGTAAAATCGCGTTAGAAGAAAGTGAAAAAACTGTTTCAGTAATGATTTTTTTCAAGAACAAAACGAACAAAATGTGTTTTTACACAGTTTTGCGTCAGAATGTTTTACAATAGTAAAAAATGCGTGTTTTGTTTTTTTGTCATCTTCAGGGTTCAAGTCAGTCGTTCTTAAAATTATTTTTAGCACAAAATTCAAGTCGAAGAAAATTTAAAAAAAATACAAACACAAATGTTTTCATAAAAACAAAGTAAAAGATTTGAGAATTTACACTTTTTAGTTATTGCAGGACWATATTTGACATAATTACGAACTAAGTTGTGATCAATTAAATAAATAATTTCTTAAAAAAATTCCACACTGAAAAAACCTGAAAATTGCTCTCAATAACCAATAAAAATAAAACCACAGCAAAGTGGAATTTTTTATTAAAAAAATGTTTTGGTTATAAACAGAAACTGGTATTTTAAACGAATCAACAAAATTAAAAAAAATGACAATATTTTGTTGTTTGTTGAAAAATAGTAATTTTTTGTTATTATTTTTGAATTAAAAAAAAAAAAAAGAAAATAGTTTTTTCCAACTTACCACATTTTCAACAAGCCCTTTCCTCGACTGTCTCAACTTTTTCAAATACCCGAAAACATCAAACTTGTCCTCCTCCTCTTGCAACTCCATATTGGCGTCAATGGCCAAATAAACCCCAGATCGGCCCCCTCCATCACTATTTTATTACAGAAAAATAACTAAAACCCCCCAAAAATTGAGCAAAACATACTTGCAATGGACCACCATAGGCCCCGCCTCGTTTGACTTAATCCTGTGCCCCACCACCGCCCTCACCCTCCTCCTGAACTCCAAAACGGCGTTGCTGAAAGGACACGTGTGACTGTGCCATTCGGTGAAGTGGAACTGGAGGATAAACCGCTCCTCAACCACTTCCTAAAACAAAAAAAAATAAAGAAAATAAAACAAAGATAATAAAAAAATAAAGAAAATAAAAAAATAAAGAAAATAAAAAAATAAAGAAAATAAAAAAATAAAGAAAATAAAAAAACACTAAAATCATAATTTTCTCCAACTATACTTCAATCTCTTTTTCTCATATAAAATATGAAAATAAGACAGAAAGGCGCTGAAAAGTTGATAAAAACATGAAAGGTTTTGTGAAATTTTTTGAGTATTGAAATATTTTTTTTGGAAATAGTAAACGAATAATTTTGCAAATTGAGGGTGCCAAAAATTCAACAGCCTGAAAAAACTCCATCAAACTGAAATTATTAGGGCTTAGTATTCATTTCAGAATTTTTCCGGGACCAAAACATTACAATATTTCAGGAAAGCAGATTTACACAAACAAATGAAGTGTTAAACGCAATTTGTGGTCGATTATTGTTATTTCAAGAACTAGTTTCAGTTTCAGCGCCAATCAATACATTTTACATAAAACTTGTTTTAGAATGCACGAGCTTTCAGTGGTCGGAATATTGCCTGAAAACTTGCTGAAAAAATTCACTACTTGGAGAAAACTTGAATTTAAATAAAACATTGCTTGTGTTTAAATGTGGGTTACGTTTTGTTTGTTTCTCCGGAGTGGAATTGAATTTCAGGAATTTAAACTAATTTGAAGCGGAAATTGAGAAAATAAATGTTGAAGTGTGACGATCTTGCCGAAATTCAATGGGTTTATGAAATATTTTCAGACGTGCTGTTTATTTGCACAAAATCGCTGAAATTTTGACACAAACCAGGAGAAAATTGCATTTCAGGTCAATTGAAAACTGAATATTCAGTGAAATTTTGTAAATTTTGTGCTCTGTGAATTTAAAATTATTGAAAAAATTTAGCTTCGAAGAAATTCATGAAATGGGGAAAATATGTAGAGTGACTTACTCAAACAATTATGACTTGTACTCGTTTCAGGATTTAAAAACTTGGATTAATACCAAACTGTTTGTTTTTCTTATCGGAATAATTTTCAGGAATTGATAAAC